TCGGGATGCAGAAAGATGTTGAAATCGCCACTAACCATCCATGGCAATCCCTCCATACTTTCAGCAATCTCACGAAGGGTATCCTAAAGATCATATCTCCCGACCCTATTACACTTGGCGTAAACAAAAGTGTGGAATATGGGCTCGAGAAGATGGGTCGCAGAAATCTCAATATGCAGCACCTGATCGGTATCCCAGAGGACCCGACAGGTCTAATCACATGAATGGAAGAACCAGATCTTATGCAAAGTGTTACCCACGCTCGAGTGGAAGCCAAGGCGCCGTGAGTAGTAGTAAAAATTAAGGGTGCGAATCATCGACTCTATAAAGCCAACGAAGTCCAATCTATGATCACGCATAAGAGAATGAAGATGCACGAGAGTGGCCTTATTAGCCAGGCCCCGGCCATTCCAAGTAATGGATGTGATAGATATATCAACCATTGTGAGAGCCACCGAACGTGGTCCGCCTGTGGCGATGCTGGGTCGAGCCACCTGAAGAAGGGGGGAGGTGGTGGAAGGATCGAAGGGCAGGGGAGACTGTTCGTCGTGTCACGCTCGGTGTGGGTCTGGTCTTCGAAGGAGGACGCCCTCGGTAGGTGCTCATAGCCTACGAGTCATCTGGCTGAGCAATCGGACCCAGAGCGGCACTAGGGACGTGCCCCATCTCCGGGGCAGTCTTCTGTTTGTTAAAGTGGACGCAAGCGCAAGAGGCAAAACTCTCGCACAAGACGTCATGCTGAGCGCGATTAGACTGCATGTCTGCTCAGGGATGAGATGGAGAAAGGCTCCATTCGGCGGAGCGCTTGGGTGCTCGCCGACAGAGTGTGGTTGGAGACTAGCTATATGCCCAGCCGAGCTCCTAAGCTCAGTAGAAGGGAGATGTGTCGGCTCTTCCCCTTTCGGGGGAACAGTGTCGGGAGCTGTCCTCATCTCCAGGGAGCGGTCTTGGCTAGATGAATGGACAGAAAAATGAACAGCATCTCGAGTGCTGTCATCAACTAAGTGAATGAACGTACCACTGGTCGAGGCATCTGGATGCTCCAGATCCTCAGCAAGGAGGCCATCATCGTCTAAAAAAGGAAGATCTAAGGACCTATGGGGATCACTGGTGGAGGGCTTATTCTCATCCTCTGCCTCAGGGGAGAGGACAATAAAGAAAGAGTGATTTGCCTTAAAGGCCGACTGAAGGGTTTCTCTAGGAATAAAGCCTGAGGTCTTGGCCTTGTGCTCAACAGTTGCCAACTGCTTAGGATGGTTAGGATGAGCATCCTTCCCAGTTTGGTCAGTGGCAACCATCCCAGCCTTGCCCGTATCCTTGGCCCCCTTTGGGGATTCGGGCGCATGGAGAGGGCCTTTTCTCTTTCCCTTTGGGTCCCTCCGGCCATTGGAGGGTCCCGGATGAGTCGCACGATTGTGCTGAGGAGGAGTGGGTCGTGGCTTATTGCCACTGATGTAGTAATCAGCTGCTATATGCCCCACATGGCTGCACGACGAACAGAAAGCGGGGATCTTCTCATAGATCACCCGCTGAACACAGTTCTCCGAACCCTGCTCAATCTCAATCTCATGAACGGGCTCAACCCTGAGATCGATCTCGACCTAAAAACGTGCCACATCAGCCCTCGACTGGAGGGCTATCGGGGCATCAATGCAGACCGGTTTTTCGACACATTTTGCAAGTGTGGTGATGGAATCCCGGTCATAAAGGTGTGGTGGAAGGCCGGGGAGCCGGCACCACACGGGGACGACAGGCGTCTCCGTCTTCGGGTTGAACCCGAAAGTATACTTGAACACCCTAGCTAGGCATCCGCACACAGAAATAGAGGTCTTAAGCCAATCCTCAGGGAGGTAGAAAGAGACTAGGAGATGGTTGAAATTATACCACTTAAAAGAAAATATACCATTAAACCCCAATTTACCTAATCCAGCAGGTATATCTCGAGGGGGAGGGATGGCATAAGAGAAATTAAAGACCAAGGTGTTAGCTAACTTACCGGCAAGGGTGTCAGCTTCGGCCTGCGAGAATTGAACCTTCACTTTGTTTTCTCCCAAGCGGATAATGGTCCCGCAAGCATGCTCATAGTTTCCGTCTAAGATGTACTCTTTGGCCGGTGGTCGCAGGGTATTCTTGTCACCATCTTTCCTCCCTGTAATGGCCTCGCGGAAAGAGAGCTTAGCCGTGGAGATGTCTGGAGAAGGCCCGATTAGAGCGGGATTGGGTGTGGAAGTGCCCATCAGCAGTGGCCTGATCGGGGAGGGTCCAGAGAGAAGAGTCGTGGGAGACGGGCTTGGGCTCAGAACCACTACACCATCCTCCCACACATATAAGACGGTCATTTATAGCGAGTCTAGAACCAGTCGTTGGGGGATCTCCAGAGACATGCTAGAATCCGGCGCCGGCGCCGACACTGGAATCCCCGGTCACCGGCAGTGGGGCCGCGTTGGCCGGCGGCTGCTGGGGGTAGGCAGGCAAAGGCGGGTTAGGGGGTGGGTTAGTAGTAGGGTGAAGAATAAGGGGTAAAGAGGCTTGGGCTGTGAGGTTATGGGTGGTGGGCCGAGGTGAGGGATAATGGAAGGTGGGCTGAGGGTTGGCCCAACAGAGAGGGCAGCGGGTTGTGAGAGATTTGTTGGGGACAAGGAGGTGGTTTGAGGGTTGAAAATGGGCTGAAGTGTCCCCGTATGTGGAGGAAAAAAGGGAATGAGTTAGGCTGAGTGAGGGGGAGGCCCAAAGGGGGTGGAAAAAAACCGGGATAGATCCTGCCCGTCCACGTGGCCCGGGAGCTGAGGGAAAGCAGAGGCGCAATCCACGTATCCTTGCAGCTGAAAGTTAGGGCAATCAATGGCGCCGCCATTAGGCAACAACGGAGCAGTCAGCGGCAGAGGAAGAGCTTTGACCCGCGGGAGGATCGATTCTGGTCGAAAGATCAACGACAATGAACCAACATGGACTTCCGAAAATAAACCATTTGGGACAGTGGACTTAATTTGACAAATCGGAGATGAAGGTGACTTCTCTGTCGAACAGATGGAACCGCCGACAGGGGCTGCTCCCGCAACCAAATCTGAAGGCAAGGTAGGAGGAGACGAGATCGGAACTTCTCTATCAACTGGGGCGAAATTCTTGTAGCTGTGTTCCATAAAAGCCGAAAGAGCTCTACTGAAATCGGGGTGAGAGAAAATGAAGTCGAAATCTGGGGGGGATAACAGGAGTGGGGGTAGGGCGGCGACTGGCGGAGGGGTCGGTGCCGAGAGGGTCGACGGTGGTGGGACTGTCGGTGACATAACAAGGCTAGGCGGTGGTCGGAAATGGTGTAGTTGAGGTGGAAGGGGTGGATGTTAGAGAGAGAAAGGTAGAGAGAAGGGAGAGCATTTTGCTAGGTCTGGTTAGTAGTTGTTAGGCTAGTTGTATGATTGTGCTAGGTTAGTTGTCTGATGGTGCTAGGTTAGTAGTTGCTAAGTTAGTTGTATGATTGTGCTAGATTAGTTGTATGATTGTGCTAGGTTAGTTGTCTGATGGTGCTAGGTTAGTTGTCAGATGGTGCTAGGTTAGTAGTTGCTAGGTTAGTTCTCTGGTGGTGCTAGGTTAGTAGTTGCCAGGTTAGTTTTCTGATGGTGCTAGGTTAGTTGTATGATTGTGCTAGGTTTTTTTTTATTTAATTTTTTTTAAACAAACAACGCCCCGAAGGGCGGGGAATTAGGCTGGATCCCCAACTGTATATAGAACAGGACCCCAAAATGGGCCCAAAATATCAAATAGCTACAGATAACATAGTCTCACAACAAAAAAGAACCAAAAACAGAAAAAGGAAATAGTACAAGGTCTGTCATCGGGCTAACAAGTGCCCGGAATAAATGTATGATCCAATGAGAACAAAGTCTAATCTACTAAAAGCAGAAAGATAGATATCCAAGCTGGTTCATCCGTACCAGCATGCGAAGACGGAGTGGAGCAGTGTCGGTCTGGAACGTGTGAAGGTCAGGTGTGGTGGCGCGAAGGCTGGCAAGGTAGTCAGCAGGTCTGTTCCCTCACTGAAAATGTGTGTAATCCTGTGATGGACAGACCACAGAAGAGCTCTAATGCGCATAAGCGGGTGCTGAATCTGCCACGAGCCCTGGTGGCCCGAGGTCAGGATGGTGACAACTGCCGCAGCGTCCAGCTCGATCCAAATATGACTAGAGAGGTGGACAGCAATCTGAAGGCCAATCTGTAGTGCCTGAATCTCTGCGTCGCAGCTCGAGGAGGCCTGAAGGGACGTGTGGAAGGCAGTGATAAGGGCGCCGCTGTGGTCCCAGATCAAACCTCTTCCTCCGGCAACTCCGGTCTAGCAATCGAAAGAACCATCAGTGTTCAGCTTAACCCACGGAGAATCGGGTCGAAGCCAAACAACAGCTCTGGGCCGAGGGGGCCAAACAGGTGCAGGGGGGCCACCATGTAGCTGTGTGGTGGCGTGCAGCCTGTCCAATCTCGGGCAGTGAGCCTGCCCAAGGATGTGAGGAGTGAAAGATGTCTCTCTACCTGCAAAACAATGTGAGAAATCAAAAAGTAATATCCCTATGCTCCGCATTATTCCTTTCCATCCAGGTGAACCAAAGAATTAGAGAAGGAATGAGGAAGCCCACGTGTCTAAAGTGTGTGCTCTGTCAGAATAAACTCAGGAGCTCAAAGAAACTGTCTGTGGAGGGTAGGGATATATATGTCCAGGTGGAAAAGTGCTCCCACACTCTCCTCACAATCTCACTCTCTAGAAAAAGGTGGGTAAAGATCTCGGTCTCATGGCGTCCAGTCTCAGAACAACACATACACCGAGAGGGGAAGGAGAACCCCCTCGCGTGTAAACCAATGTCCACGGGTATCCGGCGCAAGAGGAGGCGCCAAAGGAAAACTGAAATGGTAGGGGTGAAAAGATCGCTGCAGATGGCTCCCAAGCCGAGGTAGTAGAAAAACACACCCGTTGATGTAAGTCTCCACCTCATGCCATCCGAACCGTCCCCTGAGATGGGTATCTGCTGGATCTGATCTAATAAATGCTCACTAAAACCTGCCCCAAGGCCCAACTCCCTATCAAGCTTTTCCCTATCCCACGACCCGTCCATCCAGAGGTCGCTCAGAAGCATAAGGGGGGAATGCGACACCTGCCTATCTACAACGGTTTATCACCTATCCACCACTCATCCCAAAACTAACCTCGCCATCACCCAAAACCCAAAAGATGAGATCCTGGGCGCACCTACCGATCCTAGTAAGACGCCGCCACTGTCTGCTATCATGAGCCCCCGCTGACACCCAACAAGGGTGGTTGGCGCGTCTAGGGCCATACTTGCCGCGAAGGTACTGAGCCCAAAGCGACTTTCTTTCCCTGAAGCACCACCACAACTTTTAGGAAAAGGCAGTAACAATTTCCCTAAGACGGCGGATGCCAAGGCCTCCTTCAGAGAAAGGGCAGCAGATAGAGTCCCAACTTACCCAGTGGGTACGTCTCCCCCTCCCGGAATCTTCCTCGTAACCACACAAATAACGAGCCATAATGTGGTCAATCTCGTCAAGAGAAGACCTAGGAGGGTCGAGGACCATAAATAAGTGAAGCGGAAGAGAGCTAAGGGTACTCTTTATCAGCGCAAGCCGACCACTGAAGGAAAGGTGTCTATACGACCAACCAGATATCCTGTCGATCATCCTCTGTCTAATGTCCGCAAAGAGCGCTCTCGTGAGGTGGCCCTTATATAAAGGGGCACCAAGGTAGGTAATGGGAAGGTCGCCGCGCGCAAAGCTTGTGATCTCGTGGATCCGCTGAGCCCACCTGTCCGCGCTAGAGGAGGAGAGGGTGAAGGTTCTATTTTGCACACTGATCAGCTGACCGGTAACCGAGCTATAGTGCTCCAAGAGGTGCATATGCTCGATCAGCCCATCATCATCTGCCCGGGTGAAGATGATGATATCATCCGCATAAGAAAGGTGCGAGATGGGAGGACTATTGCCACGGGTGCTATATGTCATCCGTGGATAGTCGCAGACGAAGCCGTCAAGGCAGCGAAAGAGGTAGTCCGCCGCAAGAACAAGAAGGGATGGGGAAAGGAGGTCACCATGTCTAAGGAATCTAGAGGAGGGAAAGAAGTCGGTGGGGCTATCATTAACCAGGACCGAGAACGTGCAGTGCTCCACACACGCCTCAACAAAACTGATCCACCGCTCAAGAAATCCCATCCTAGCCAGTGCCTCCCTAAGAAACGGCCAATCCACCCTATCATACGCCTTAGCCATGTCTAGCTTCAGCGCAATGTTCGGTGCCCGTTTTCAATCTGCATGGGAGATATCGTGGATCATCTCCTGAGCCAAAAGTATGTTATCCCTAATGACCCGATCCTCGACGAAACCACTCTGGTTGAGAGAGATGAGTGAGGGGAGAAGAGGGGAAAGGCAGCTGTTAAGAATCTTTAAAATGAGCTTGT